CCCAATCCCCCCCCCCCACCAAATCATAAAGTTGGATAAACAATGTTAAATTCACGACTTAACGGAAAAGGACCGATGGCCGTGGAAGGCCACCACCTCTCTGGTTTGCTTCCTGCGGCCTAGTAAACAGCAATATAAAAATGTAAATATTGGATTGCGGCGTGTCAGTCACATGGGCCTCGGCAGGCACAGGTGGAAAATATGGTCTTCGGCGTCATACTGAGAACCACATGGCCACACACAACATGGGGCAAAGAGCAGTACACTCAGCTGGCAAAGGGCTTTTGTGCTTGGACAGTTTTCAATATACAGTATTAGTTTCATCTTCAAGAGCACTGTATGTGTCTACTACAGGCACAGATGGGATGAAACAAAGAGGACTTTAACCCTTACAAAAACCCTGCCTGCCTGCCTTCAATAAGGCAGATATTTGGTCAGCAAAAATGCCTGCATTCGTGATGCACGTGTAGCAGTTTGGACTGAGCTACTGGAACTGTACTTAGGGATTTTTTTTGTTTAATCCTTACAAAGTTCAGAATGATTTGCTTGTTTTTGTTGAGGATCATGATTCCTTTGCCCGCCTCCGTATCGACTGCGGGGTCATGCTGTGTATTTTCGACTCCTCCCCCGACAGAGATGAGGTTTGAAATTGATGCGCTTTGTCCATTCATTAATTGCATGATGATATGAGGGCGCCCCCCACGTCTCCTGCAAGCCGGAGTGATGCTGGGAGGAAGCTTGTATCCATCTGGAAGCAATAAACTTTTCTAGAAGACTGCACAGTTTTATTTAATCTCGGGACTTCTCACTGTGCACCAAATGAGAGCTGTTCCCATCGTGTCATTTTAAATCAGCCTCATTTTTCGCCAGGGAACGACACCAGGCTGGGGAGGGAAAATGCTCGCGTCAAAGCAACCGTGCTTTTTCTTTTTGGCTGCAGATGCCAGGGGGTCGTGGCATTCGAGCCCTTTAAATAAATTCTGCATAAAGAGGGCTTTTCTATTCCAATGAACCATAAATCTAATGGGTGATTTGCGATGTGCAGAACATCGTCAATCGCCTGGCTGTGAATGTTTGCTTACAGCACAGACTGAAGTGTGCTGCACCCACACCACGTTGGAAACCTGAAATTATGCATAAAAAATGTATAAGCTTACTCTAAATTATATTGGGCCATTTCATCAACATCTGTTGCGATATGTAGGCCAATAAACAGCAGTGAACATGAATACGTCAAGTACAGTTTGGTAGGGCGTAGAATGTGCTTTGGGCAACGATGAGCAGAGTAAGGGAGGAGAGAATGAGAAAGACAGGTGTGGTTAGACCCTGCATGTCATCGGATGGGACAGTTGAGGCCGTTGTATCTGCGACAGCTTTGACCCGAGACATATGGACCAGCTTGCGTACAAATGGGACCAGTTTGCCCGGAGCCTCATACTGGGCGGTCTCTGGGATTGGGTTTCCACATCTCGCTCATCCAGAGAGCCCACGGCACCCTATGCACCAGAAAGCCAAGGAAGGGGGGATGGGGGAGGTGTCAGCGCTGACGTGGCAACAAGAGCCGAACCGAGCTGCCTGCACACCTGCCTGTTTTGCACGGCCAAAAAGGGCCCTCCGGTCTGGCCGGTGTGAAAAGCGCGGTTTCCAAGCCAACCGCAATGCATATAAAGGCGGAATTACCGGGCGACTGGAAGGGCCGCTCCATCTCCCTGACCAAAAGCCGCCGTCCTGCGACCGTAAAGCGGCATCGTGATTGATATCCATGTGAGGCGCTAGCAGACGTGGGGATTTAGCAGGAGCACTCTAACGATCGGCTCCAGGAAACATTCGCTAGAAGCAGGGTCCCTGAAGCATATGAAAATGAATCAAATTATGCTTCAAATGAAATCAAATTAAACCTCTGTCTTCATAGGCCGCAGAAACTTACCGAAGGAGCGGATGCCAATAAACTGACGGATTCCGCTCTGCCTGCCAGAATTTATGCCTGATTAAAAGATTATGTAGCATAAATGGAAGTTGTGCCGGAGCGAATGATATTCTGCGAGGTGTTACCTTCCATCTTTATGGAAACAAATATTGTTCAGAAGTTGGCACGCATCTTCACACTTAAATTTGTTGAATGTGATTGAAAGGGGCATATTTTGGTAATGAACATATTGGTACCACCATAATACGTCCAAAAGGATTTTTCACAGGGGATGTTTTCCTCATTAAGTTCATATTTCATTGAATTTACTCCTTTACTTTGAATAGAACAATGGGGTGGGGGGTGTAATATTGAATTGAGCTCCCCCCTGTAGCCACATTACAAAGTACAGTAATTGAAGTTATTAAGGATTGCCATATGTCTCGCTATAGTAACCATTGTTTTAATGTACAGTCCCATTAAAAAGGTTAAAAAAATGCCTAAAGACCATAAGACACAAATCCAGCCCTTTGTCACACAATAGCGGTTAATATTAAGTAGTCCACCAGAAAAAAAAACTGATTTAAAGTGTGAGGCTAAGTGGATGATTATCAATATTAAACCATCGATCAGGTAGGAGGGGATCGGCAGTGTGGAACCTGGAGAAAATTCTGCATGCATTAGTTAGGGCAGCAGAAAGGCGAGAAATTAGAAAGAATTGCAGAAAATAATTAACATTAAAACTGCAAGATAAACACTTGGTTATATGATTAGCATAATGTAAGATATTAGTGGTAACACTCTTTCCATGATTGCTCAGTAGCGCAACATAGTAAACAGGATAAGAGAAAACCTTTTGTGGCAAAACCTGGAAAATAAAAACAAGATTGCACCGAGATTATACTGTGGTGGAGCAATTAAATTTGAATTTGTATGCTGCAAATAGTTAATTAAATGCAATAATTGGATTAAACAAATTATAGACAAAGCACTAAGAAGTGGCAATGATGGTGAATGCACCTGTTTGCATGATGAACAACAATAATAAGGATGATTCAGGAGGTGACTCTGTAGCACCGGTTCAGTGCTGGTTCATTACTGACTATAATTCTGCTCAGCGTGGGGTGTGTCGAAATCAGATCTTACTCCCCTTTATTGAGGGGACGAGCTCATAAATTAGGTCCAAGTACTAAACACCGCGCACGCGGTTCGGGGGGAGCAAAGCCAGCGCCTGTAATACCCCGAAATGCAGGAAAAGGGCGTGAAAGGCCCCGCGCCCCGACGGCAGCACGTCTGTAACTCGGGACATGTGCAGAAACTGCGAACACAATTAGCGTCAAGCAGATAAAACCTGCTCTAATCCTGTTTACGGTCCACGTCAGGCAGATGTGCCAAGATTGATTCAGACAGGATCCCGGCTTACTGTAGTGCCGGAGGGGAGGGGGAGCAACCCTAACCCCCCCCCCTCCCCTCCAAGAGTGTTGTCCCCGCTCCCCCATAGGCCGTGCGTGTCGGCGTGGGGCGGCTTGCCCGCTTGTCCCTACCGACGGAAAAAGCTTCATCCGGGGAGATTACCTTTATTCCCTGTAATTAAATTGACTCCTTTTTGTGTAGACCACGATAGGAAGGGGCCACACCGTTAAATAAATAGCTTGATATCCAGGAGTACAGCTAAACCCAGAGCATGAACAGATGGTGTCGGGTATCTTGCTCAGTCATGTGAAAAGACAGTTAATGTTCTGAAACACAGCGATGCGGCCAGGATACGCCTAATGAAGGGTGGGGAGATGGGGGGGGGGGGGGGGGAAGGGGGGGGGATATGGGGGGGGGAAGGGGGGGGGGGGGGGGGGGGGGGGGAAATTGAGGGGAATATATGAGGGGAAAATTGGGGAGAGTGGAGAAGAGCACCCCTGATGGGAAGGTTCTGCATACAGTGGCGTTTACGGAACGTGATACCAGTAGAATGAATGGGTCCTAGAACTAGTGCCTGAGGCACACCTAGTGAATAGTGTGGGTCTGCAGGGAAACGTGGCCTCAAAGGGAGGATCCTGTATGAAGACATGCTTGGATAAGAGGCTCTGCAGGCAGGATGTTCTTAATTGAGCCGTAGCTGGGGCTGGCATGTGCTCCTTATGAACAGGGAGACATTTAAAGGAGATGGCATTTTCAGATGGAGTCTGCACGATAATGAACCCAATCCAGGGTCTCCTGCAAACTGAGATCAATCCAGCAGGCTACATGGTGATGGCCATCTAAGAAATCTTCAAGATCATATTTAACTTGTAGCTTTTTACTTTGTACTTCATGGCCTCCGTGCGATAACTTTGCTATCTTTAGCGGGCAGCCCCCTTACTACAACCTCTGCTGTTCTCCCGATGGCAGGTTATTTCTTGTCATGGGTAATTCCCAGTCCCCTCTCATCTCCGCTTAAGACCCCGACTATTAATACTTCCGTTTTTTGAAGTTAATGGTTAACACTTCATTCCAAATGGTCACCTCAGGTAACTTACGCACAGTAGGTGGAAGGAACAAATGAAAATAGAATGAGAGATCTTTGGGGCCATTGGCAAAATTGCTAGTGGGGGGTCTTGGGGAGTGAAGGCTCACAGTAATTCTGCAAATCAGCCCCCCCCCCCCCCCCAGTACTGGCTGTGCCTCTGATTGAGATACCTGTATATCTGTTCAGCGCATGGATTAGGTCTCTCCCTGTCACTTTAGATTATGGTTATCAAAGTGTTCAAGACTTTCTTTTTTATTCCGCTGCACTTACTGTGTCTTTGCTCTTTGAATGCCTTTATTCCTGCTGTGTGGCTCGGTAGGACGGGGCACTGTGCCAGTGATCGGAAGGTTACCAGTTCAGTGTCAGCTGAGCGATTTCACCATTGGGGCCCTGGTCAAGACCCTTAACCCCCAGTTGCTCCAGGGACTGGCTGACCCTGCCTTTTGAAATAATGTCTGCTAGATCAGTGAATTTACCATAGGAAGGATGTGAGAGGATGGCAGGGAGCCGTGAGATGCGTGATTGACATAATGTACATACTAATGCACATATAATAAGCAGAGTCTCTGATTGGCCGCCTTGTGTTCTTCGCAGGGGAGTCAGGCTCGTGGAGGCGGGAGGAGCATGTGGAGCTGCGGAATGTGTTCGCCGTGAAAGTGAAACGGCGCCGCTCGGTGGGTCAGCAGTGGGGCGGCACCCTCCTGGGCCTCACGCTCTTCTGCTGCGTCAGGAAGGGGGCCAAGCTGAAGGAGCGGCCCATGCACCTGAACAACCTCAGCGCCGACCACTGCGAGGTCTGGTTCAGGCACCTGAAGGACCTTTTGAGTGGTAAGAACCTCACCAGAAGGTGGCGCCCGTGGGGTTGGGGGGGGGGGGGGGGGGTGCATGAGATCCATGTTACATGAAACGACCCCCCTAAGATGCAGAATATGTCTGGTTTATGCCAAACAGATTACATACACAGTGTTGAGCATGTAGTATGAACAGGCAACTGGGGGAAATGGGACCGTTTTGTAGCTCCCCTGCAATAGACCAGGAACTGAGTAATCACCATCATTCAATACCATTTCTGTCTTAATCAGTGTATGAACCACTGTGTTAATCTGTATACCAGTCACTATATTAGCTAATGTACCAGTCACTGTATCAACCTGAACACCAGTCATTATACTAATCAGTGTATCAGTCACAATACTAGTCACTGCATTTCTCAGTGCACCAGTCACTGTATTAACTAGTCTTTCAGTCTCTGCATTAATCAGTGTACCAGTTTCTGCACTAATCAATGCACCAGTCATTGCACTAATCAGTGTGCCAGTCACTGCACTAATCAGTGTAACAGTCACTGCATTATGCAGTGTACCAGTCACTGTGTTAAGTCTGCCAGTTTCTGCATTAATCAGTGTACTAGTCAGTGCTTTACTTAGTGTACCAGTCTCTGCCTCAGTCCCCCGACTGCCTCTCTGTTTATTGACGTTCTGACTGTGAACCAAAGGGGCATCTGTCAGTTTAAAAAAGCAGCTGTGGGGGGAGGGGGGGTGGGCACTTTACCCGGCAGGCCCGGTGACTGATGCACTGGCAGGGCATGCGACACTGGGGGCTGTGATGGGCAGCATACGGCCCGCTGTGTCCTCCGGGCCGGCCCAGCGTGGGGCTCCCATCGTGGGGCGGGGCCATCGGCCACAGGGGTGCGGCGGGAGCGCATCCAGGGAACAGGCTGCTCCCGGACGCCCCCCTGCCGTTTGTAATTATCTGTCCCCCTTGTGCCGTTGTGGCTGCCAGGATGAGCGGGACATTGGGGGACGAGCGGGACTCAGGGCTGTGCCTGATTACCCAGCCGTTCTCCCAGAGTTCCCGGCTTTCGGCTTTCGGTGAGGGGGGGCAGGGCTTCTTCATGTTGCTGTCGGAAGCCACTGCCCGGGAAGACATTTGTAAAATTACAGAAGGTCTTATGCTGTCAGCAGATCGACGGAACATTCTCAATCATGGTAAAACAGGGTGAGCGCTCGACCGCATTAGCCAGGGCCTGTAATCTCCACTAATCCCTGTGTCAAGACATCGCGGCACTTCCTCCAGACCCCGCCTCTCTCCAGGGTAATCTGGAAATAGCCGTAAAAACCCGCCTGTGAGCGTGGCATACCCGGTGACACGGCATGTGTGTAATACCTAGTGTAGGAACGGAAAAAGGTGAGGGGGGTGGAATTAGGGATGGGACCCCCGCTGCAGGAATGAGCAGGCGTAACCTGTCGGATGATGGGATATTTGTGATGATGTCTTCTTATAATCCTGGGCCCACTCAAGTAACAAAGGCGCCTAATCCTCCAGATTGGACACACAGCGGCTGCTGGTGATGTCACCCTCCGTGTTTTAACACGCTCGTCACCTGCACACTGGTACCAGGCACGATCCCCCCCCCCCCCC